TAGCAAGTTAAGTAGTGAAACTACAAAACAATTTCCATGAATTTATATTCGTGGTTGTTAGATTTTTGTGTTGGTCACCAAATAGGAACCAACTGCATGGTCAATGGAAGTTCCATGGCCTGTTCTAAAAGTGATGTCACATCACCAGTTGTGGATTTTGGCGCAAAAGACATCAGTGAGTGTGGTGCTGCACCACAAACCCACAGTTTATCATTTTTATACTGTTAGCAAGATATTCAGCATGATGAACGAGAGAAGCATTCACAATCTTATAACCTGTTCTAGCATCCTGCAGTAGAAGGAGTGCAAACATTTTTCTTGCTGTGATGGAAGAATATTTAAACATTAATGTGTTATGTTTACAAGTTGCATAATTTACTTTCATTTTCCACTGATTTGATTTTATTCTGCATCACTTGAACTAAACTGATTTATGTTGATAAAGCTGTGAGGCTTTTTATGAGATTTAATTTTAAAAAAAAAATGAAATGCTATTTTATCACAAGATGTAGTAAGCTCTCCTGAAATATCAAAGGATCATGATAAACAAGCTCTCCAGTACTTTTTTTTTCATCCTGAATTTAATAAGTAAGATTGATACATCTACAAAGGTGTCTTTCTTGAATTGACAGAGGTAGAGGTGGGTTGGAGGGGTGGGGTGAGAGAACTCATAATTTTACGTGTCATTTTGAAGCAACTGCTTGCAAGTTGCAATGACTGATATGTTAGCAATTTGTTTCTTAGTTCAGAATGAAGTCTTAACTCTTTATCATGCACATAAGCACGCAGCGTCACTAAAGCTAACCCTGAACTCCCTGAGCGTAAGAACTTGGCTTTTGGAAAGCTTCCAACATTTTTGCAAGCATGCATTCTCTAAGTCTTCTCTCTTGGGACTGAAAATTCCTCCTATATTGATTAATATGGTCCTCAAATATGTACGTGTTAATTCCCGCATGTTCCTCTCGCCCCTTCCCCTACCTCCCAGAACTGCGACAGGGTTTCCCTTGAGCTCAGTTCTACATTCACCAACTCGTATGTCTCTGGCCTGATGCCACAACCAAACGCATCTTCCTCTCCCCTTTCAGAATTTCCAAAGGACTTTTCCTCCCCTGCACCCTGGCCAACTTCTTGATTGCTATGTTTCCTGCCTTTCTAATAGCACCTTCTTATGCAAGCACAAGAAATACAATGCCGGCCCTTTTATCTCCTCATACCCTGTGTTTCAAAACCCCAAACTTGCCTTCCAAATACAACAGCAATTTACTTGTAGTTTACTGTTTTCAGACATATGAGTATTGAGATGGCAAAAACATGTCAGACGTTGGTTATTGTGTAGCAAGGAGCTCAGCTCCTTAATCTGTAAAGAAAGAGGACAACTTGGGATGGATCACTTTCTACTTTCCTGGAGGTACGCAGTGACAACAACACTGTAAAAGCCCAATACCATCTAATGAGAAAACTGACCTGCAATCACATGGCAACACTATCACCTGCAAGTTCCCTCCAAGCCACATACCATCTTGTCTTGGAAGTGTATCAGTTGTTCCTTCACCATCACTGGATCAGAATCCTGGTCTGCCTTCCAAACAGCACTGTGAGTGTACCTGCATCCCCAGAACTGCAGTAGTTGAGGGAGGCATTTCAACACTACTTTCTCAAGCTAAATTGGGATGAGCACTAAATTCTGGACTTGCTGGCGATGCCTGTGTCTGATGAGAAGTTTTACAAAGATACCTGTAGTGATTGTAACAAGGTGAACCAACTGGACCTCGTAGAATGTAAGTTCCTTGATTGGTGGTGTTAATCTGGTCCAATCAGGGAGCCCTGGCTGACATACAGAAAGGGTGAGCATCAGAGATGCTGACACTCTCAAACCTGACTCTGTGTGAGGCTGAACTATAGTCGAGGACTTTTCATGCATAATTCAATGGTAACTTGGTGATGGGATTCCAGCCTTTGTGGAGTTATTTCAACATCATTGCTCATGATTTGCTTTCCTGGAGAGTTTAAAAACCAATTGGGTGACCACTTTGGTTAGTTTTTCCAATCAGCCTGTTTTTGTAAACCCGACCTTCTATTTGCCTGTCATTCTAAGTCTGAACTCGACTCCGTGTCCTTGGCTTCTGACACTGTCCCAGTGAAGCTCAAAATTGAGTTTAATAAACCATTGTTTCCAGTTTTTGCAAATAATGCACGCTGGTGATGATTCTGCCATTTCCATTTACACATCTAAACCTAACATTTCTTTCCTGATTTGCCTAATTAATATATCCCTTTGTCTTACAACATCATTCCATTTGTATTTTGAACTCTCCTGTCTTCCATCATCACAGATCTTGCCTTTTATTCTCTTCCCAGTCTTTTCCCTGCCCCTGTTCTTTCAGAAAACCTGTTGCGTCTCCAGTTTCTTCCCAGTTCTGACAGAAGGTCGTGAAACTGAAATGTTAGCCTTGATTCACCCTTCTTGGAAGTTGCCAGACGTGGGGTATTTCCAGCATTTTTGATCTCCATTGCACCGTTTATGAAAGCGGATTTGATAGAACTGAAATATTTCATTCTCTGCAGTATTCTCGAACAAACTCTGAGCAGGGATTTTTTTTTTATTCATTCAGGGGATATGAGCTTCACTGGCTGATCCAGTTTTTATTGCCCATTACTAATGGCAGTGGAGAGGTTGGTGAAGAGCCACCGTCTTGAATCACTGCAGTCGACGTTTTGCAGAGATTGTGAGGGTGTAAGTTCCATATTTGTAATCCAGCAACAATGAACACCATATAGTTTCAGGTTGCGATGTTGTGTGGGCTGGAGGGTAACTTGCAGGTGGTGGTGTTCCCATCTTTCTGCTGCCCTGTCCTTCTGGATGGGTTGTGGGATTGGATCTTACTGTCTCAGGAACCTTCGTGAATTTCTGCAGTGCATCTTGTCGATAATCTGTCTGGCTACAACAGGTAACATCTACTGAACAAGAGTGAAGCATAAAGGGAAATATACCTTTACACTACATGTAGTTATTGAATAAGGGCAGAAGGAGCAATATCATAATGAAATCAAATAACATGGAACTTGAACCTGGATCTGTAGAGCTTCAGATAAAATGACCCCTCTTACCATCCTCTCTATATAGTTATTTTCAATAAAGACCATTGCTCTGCATTCAAAAGAAGGCAGATCTCAGATCACTGCAAGGGATTGCATAACTGATTTTCATATTTCAGCAAGCTGGGCACAGTGACAAGTCTACAGTTGATCAACCCATTCCAGTTATCTCAATCGTTTTCTGCTTTGGGAAGTTATTGCATCGTCCAGTAGTTTAGAGTGAAACAAGTTGAGTCAAATAGTACAGGAGAATCTTTGCACAGTTTTAAATTGAGTAACAAATCATTGAAGTTCTGGGAATTTGAACAAAGAAGATTGCAGCATCACAGTCGAGAGAGTGTTCAGCATGATGAGAGTGCTGACAACGCAACCGATTTTATGAAGTTAAATCATTGTAAACGCCTTTTAATTAATATAATTCTGCCTCCCTATTCTGCTGTTGTATGGATTACTAGCATGCTCAACTGACATAGAGAGGCAAAACAATGTAGGAATCACAAATAAAACTGCAAAATTGCTGCCTTTTAATTGCATCTGTCATCAAGTGTATGATTTTCAGCAAATCTATTACTGTCAGGATGTCATGTTATAGCTTTATAAGACTTCGGTTAGGCTGCACTTAGAGTATTGAACAAAAACAGAAGTTCCTGGAAAAGCTCAGCAGGTTTGGCAGGCAGTATCTGTGAAGAAAAAAATCAGAGTTAACAGTTCTGAGGAAGGGTTCCGCGAAATGTTAACTCTGATTTTTTTTTCTTCACAGATGCTGACAGACCTGCTGCGCTTTTCCAGCAACATCTGTTTTTGTTCCTCATTTACAGCATCCGCAGTTCTTTTGGTTTCTACTGAGAGTATTGAGTTCAATTCTGGTTGCCACGCTACAGGAAGGATGTGAAGGCTTTGGAGAGAGTGCAGAAGAGGTTTACCAGGATGCTGCCTGGATTAGAGAATATGAGCTTTCAGGAGAAGCGAGAAAAACTCGAGTTGTCTTCTGTGGAGAAGTGGAGGCTGAGGGGAGATTTGAAAGAAGCGTATAAAATTATGAGATGGATTGATAGGGTTGGCAGTCAGAGTTTTTTCCCACTGTTGAAATGTCTTAACACTAGGGGGCACGTATTTAAAGTAAGGGGAGAAGGTTCAAAGGAGATGTGAGGGGCAAGTTTTTTACCCAGAAAGTGGTAGGTGTCTGGAACGTGCTGCCAGGAGTGGTGATGAAATGCAGATAATGATGGAGAGTTTAAGGGGCTTTTAAATAAGTACATGAACATGCAAGGAATAGAGGGATATGGACCAAGAGCAAGCAGAAAGGGTTAGTTTAATCTGGCATCATGTTCAGTACAACATTGTGCTGTACTATTTTATGTTATATGTTCTAAAGTCCCAAGAAGGCTGCAGAAAAACAAATGAACAGTGTGTATGTTCAATTAAAGCAATAACAACGGTTTATTTTTAGACAGTGCCTGGATTACTTTTTTAAAACAAATCCCAAAATGACAGAGCAAGCATTTTGACGTCTGGGATCAATCACCATTTAATCAAAGGCAACAGATTTTTACAATGTCATTTTATCTTTTGATTTCTTCAGTTGTCCTCTTTCTGAAGGTTCTGCTGACCGGGCCCCTTCGTTCTCACGTCAATGAAACCACCTCTTCTGCTGCATAAATGTATTTGTTCTATCAGCAGCCAGCTGAGTATCATGCCTGCAGTTGTGAATATCTGTGAGAAAGCGAAAGTGGGAGCAGCCAATTTAGTGAAATGGTAAATGCACAATCAAATTTAATACTGTCCATTCAAACCACTGCCATCCCAGAATAGGAAAATAGAACGGAGGAGTCCAAAAGGGATTTCATTTTTGCAAAGTTTTGTTTTAGAGTTTCAAAAGAGTCTTTGTGACTTTTTTTCTGCAGAGCCGAAAACATGCCAGCAAGGTTCGACTTTACTACATGCTTCACCCAGTTGATGGAGGATGTCCAGCAAAGAAGCTCAGATCTGAAAATGTAAGTAATTTAACTTTCCAGCAAAAATGTAGGCCAAGTTATTCGCCAAGTCGACAAAAGATCAATGACGTCAATTTGAAAAGGATATCTAAGAAAAGGAAATTGTTGGGGCATGGAGGAAGTTTGAGATGAGCTCAGTTCCTTGGAATAGGCTGCTTGGAAAATTCCACTGACAACGCAACATGCTCACTCACTAGCCTGCGTTGTAACCTTTTGGAATGCATGCTTTAAACATTCATTTTGAAATTCAAGTTAAAGATTTGTATGGCCATGTCTTCAGGAATGAAAGTGTGTTGTTATGATATCAAACATCCCACTGCTCGTATCTTGATTTAGCATGAACTGACATTTCTAACAAGTCCATTTCTTTGCCTTGGGGGATGGTTTAATGATGTTTGTATAATGCATATTGTACAGACAAAAAGATTTTCATAGCTTTAGACACAGAATCTTAGGACATATGTGATCACTTGACAGAAAACATGTCCTTCTTGTGCTCCTCATTGCTCTTGATCATCTAATGCATGTTTATTGGACACGGCTTTTTTCTTGATGTCAGAAGTTCTTTCAGGAGAGAAAAAAAATTGACCTGTGATGTGAAGTACGCAAACAATTGAACTACGCTGACTGAGTTAGCAGTCTATGATTATTTATAATTGCCTGGATGTTGTTTCTGAGACCTTTGAAACCAAAGATCAAGAGGGCACTAAATAACACAGTTGTAGTCCAAGCTAAAGATTATACATGAGGAAAACACAGAATTCTACCAATGTGCACTGATTTCACAATGTCAGCTCAGCAATAATCAGCTTTCCAATTGAAATCAAATCTCCCCATCTTAGGGTACAGATAACAAAATATATGCATCACAATCAGTGAGCAAACAAAGGTGTTAGGCAAGCCTAGCATGAAATCTTGGTGCATTTCTCTTTTTCAGTGTGAACCACAAGATAAAGTTAAACATCAGAGTCAGCAGTAGTGAACACCACTGTCAATTTGGTTGCACTGACAGAGCAACTGTTTGAGGAAGTGTTTCGTTATCATATTCTCGAGGGCAGTTTGGAGTGTGCAATAAATGCCAGTGATGCCCACATCCCATGAATGAGAAGGACAAAGTTCTTGATCCATTTAGCAATTTTTTCAGAACATCCTTCTTCCCAGAAATAGAACAGAAACTTCAAAGCTACTGGAAGAACAAATGGGATCAGTTATATTCTAGAAGTCTGATTTTTCTCTCAAAGCCAAGCTTCAAACCCGTGTGCCTTGAAGGTTTCTCAAAGAATATCTATTCATCCAGATCCAGTGGTTGGACTTGAAGTCAATTCTGAAATTTAGCAGGTCGATACATGGACTGCAATGGGTATTCTCTGATCAAGCAAATTCACCTTACACTTCCTGGAATTTACTTGGTTGGAAGGTGAAGAAGGAATTCTTTACAGCAGTTGTCATTAGGCAGTGAATTGTTAGTGATGCTTATATTCCAAGAATGAGTATAAAAATGGCAACATAGAGGTGGAGGCAATTTCAGTCGAGGTATTCAAAAGGGTTCTTCTGGATGGTAATACCGTGCAGGGATATGGGGAAAAGGCAAGAGATCAGTACCATAGAGTAGAGCCAGACAAGATGAGAGAGCTGGTTCAAGCATGTTGGCTGAATGACCTCTTGTGTACTGTAATGGTTCTATGATTCTGTTGCTGAAACTATTCATGCTTTTGGAGAGCAAAGAATGATGGGGTAAAATTAGAAATTAGAGCCTGACATACTATCCAAAGGATAGCAGATGTTTGGACCTCTCTTCTGCAGATGGAATATGATGCTAGATGAGTTGCAGATTTTCAATCAAAAAAGATCACTTATGCACAATGGTGGAGTTACAAATGATTATTTTGCACCTGTATTTGCAAAGGAAGAAGATACTGCCCAATGCCTCATAAGAGGATGTCATTGAGACCTAAACATTGATAAAGAGGATCTGTTGAAGAACCTGGCTGTGCTTATGTTGATAAGTCACTGGAATCAGATGAGATGCATTGGTCATAATATTTTAATCCTTATAAAATGCAGGGGTGATGTCAGGGGACTGGAGAATTGCAAGTGTTACAACTGGATTCAAAAATAGGTTCAGTGATAAGCTGCGCAGTTACAAGCCATTGTAATCTTGGAGGTGGGCAACCTTTTTGAAATAATAATTCAAGACCAGGTTACCAATCACTTGGACAAGTGGATTTTAATCAAAGAAATACAACATTGACCTGTCAAGGGCAAATCCTATTTAACTAATTTGTCTGAGTTTCTTAATGACATAAGAAAGGGTTGATGATAACACTACAGTTGTACATGAATTTCCAGTTGCTATTTGATAAAGAGTCATGTAACAAGCTGTCAGTAAAATTAAACCCATGGATTTAAAGTTGACATTGGCAGCATGTCTACAAAGTTGGCTAAGTTTCAGGGGATAGCATGTTGTGATGTCCAGTTGTTTTATAAACAGGTGGAAAATGTACACTGGAGCTCTCCAGGGGTCAGACATCTTTGTCTATTTTCATGGCCTGTAACTTGGTGTACAGGGTACAATTTCATAAGTTGCAGATAACTCAGAAGTAATGTTGACAAGGAAGAGAACATTCATAATCTTTTCAAAGAGATTTTGGAAGGCTGCTGGAACAGGCAGATGAGTGGGAGATGGAATTTAATGCAAAGAAGCTCGAAGTATATTATTTTGTTGGAAAAGTGAGGAGAGATGATGTAAAATGAAGGAAACAATTCTAAAGGAGGTACAGGAACAGATGGTTGATAAGGTTAAAAAATAAATCAGTGTGTTCAGACATTTGTGATGGACACAGCTCCGAGATGGGTAACGATTGAACCCAGTTGTTCTGATCCAGAGATAGGCCACTAGTATTGCATCAGCATCTGGGTGAATATGGGCACAAGTCATTGATAATGGCAAAACAGTTTGAAAAACTTCTTAATTAAGCATGAATAAGGGCCCTTGGGTTTGATAAATAGGAGTATAGAGCACAAAAGTGAGGAAGTTTTCTGCATAAAATAAAATAAAATATTGCATCCCTTTCTGGGCAGCACTCCAAGGAGGGAGAGAGTGCAGAAACAAGTCATGAGAGTGGGTCTGAGGAACTTCATCAACATGGATAGATTAGAGAGTGGAGATTGATCTGTTTGAAGAAGGAAAGAAGAAGGGAAGATTTGATGAGATTTTCAAAATCCAGCAGTGATCTAGGGGAGTGGATAAGGAGAAAGTACTCCCTCTGGTGGAAGGGTTGAGAACCAGTGGAAACAGATGATAGGTGATTGGTCAAAGAAGCAATCATGATACAAGGAGAAACCTTTCTTTGTGCAGCAAGTGGTTGGCATATGGAATGTTCTTCTGAAGAGTTTTGCCGAGGCATGTATCAGCGAGGCCTTTGAAAGAGGATTGAATAATTATACAAAGTGAAAAGATTGTCAGGACTCAGGAAAAAGATGGAGGAGAGGCATGAGGCACATTACTGTACGATGGAGACAGCATGGGCACAATGGGTCAAATGGCTTCCTGCAGTGCAATAGCACATCTACGATTCTGTGGTTCTCTGTGCTTTGGAGAAGGCTTGCGGCCCAATTTCTTCAGTGACTCATTCTTATCACGTTCAAGTGGAATGCTTGACAGATTGCACAGAAATCGTAGTGTTTGGTAGGCCAGAAAGCATGCCAGAATCAAAATTGACAATAGAATTGAGCATGTTTCATCAGCCTTTACTCTGCACATAGCTGAGCAAGGCAGATTGAAGAAACTAAATATATCATTTCACCCACTATCGCATCGCTTTTTTGCTTGGGACATTATATCTCATCAATTCTAGTTGTGGATAATGAATGGACTCAGAGACTTGAAGAGAGAATGAATAGGGGACATAAAGTACTGATTCAGAAGTGAGAGAAGGCTCCAATAACTCCAATGCAGTTTTACCGTTCTCTGTGCTTATGACTGTGAAATGATTAGGTCCAGTAATATGTTCCTGTCCAGATTTTTTTTTCCAATCCAACGTAATACTAGCTTCAGATCTTGATCAGGCATTTAAAAAAAAATCAGCACTATTAGTGCCTTCTGACCATTCTCATCAAAGTTGTCAGCAAAAAAATTGTCAACAATGTTCAGCCCCTGTATCCTTTTCTTGGACTTGTTAATTCATAAGCAACTGAAATGTGATCAACAGCAACTGCAATTTAATGACCACCGACTGTGCTGTGCTTTTATTTTAAGGGATTGGGCTGATATCTATAATTGCAGTCTCTTTCATTCCAGGTTCCCTGAGCAGATAGAGAAAATAGTATTCAGTAGTCAGGATGGATGCTGATAAAGGTACGCTGTGACTTGGCATAGTGTGACTTCACAATTGCCTTGCCCACGGAATACATGGCTTCTTACCTCTTTCAATAGTGATTCTTTTGTGTTGGAGTTTTGATGTTGCGTTTTACAGTTTCTTTGTATCCATAAGATGTATTCCATTGTCTCATAATCCTGTCATGCTCAACGACTTAAACTGCAGTGATGCAGTCAAGTGTCAGATTTATAACTTAGCCAGGGAAATTTATTTCCTTTTTATAAGAGGATTCTGAGTATTTTGGAGTGAAATTCAGTCCAGTGTGACTTGTCACTAGAGAGTGACAAGCTCCCTGCAGCTGCAGAAAGTGCATGTTTTCAACCAGAGACCGATTACATAGTTCTGCCAATACATTTGGCCTCATCAACCTTCAGTTGATGTCACATAGGTGACTTTTTGCCATGAGAGTCTAGCATTAAAGGGAACAATTACAATAAATTGCATGAATTTTCTGAAAATAGTCTCAAGTACAGTGCAGCCTTTTTCCAGGTGTAGGTTTACCTCCGAGACCAGGACTATTGCAGCTAACTGCACCCCTGTAAATGTGGCAAGTTTTCATATTGGCCCCTGAATTTCCTGGGAAAGTATCAGTGAGTATATTTTTTGAAAAGAATTTTAATC